AGAAAAGTCACAGCCGAACTAGAGAGAAAAATCTAAAACCCTCTAGTCGGCCCTTCTTTTATTTATACTCTTCTAAGATATACAAGGATTACCATTGTGCCCTCACTTAAGTGAGAGCCACATCAGCTGAGCAGTACATATATAACTAAACATAAAAGGACTGTACTACCCTTGTACAGTCGATTCTAACAATTAATGGTAAAGTGAAGGAACCAAAGACTCTAAGTGCCGAGCATGACAGGTGGGACCAAGAAAATAGTATGGTGATGTCATGGCTCTTGGTTTCCATGCTGCCACAAATAAGGAAGTCGTTTATGTGGGCTGAAACAGCTTGTGAAATATGGGAATTGGGAACAAGCGAAATCTACCTATTTAGAGCAGAGGCCCTATGCAAAGATAAACCAATTACAAGCTGAATCCTCCACTTGCAAGCAGGGGGAGAAGTGTCTCTCGGTGTACTACTTAGATCTAACATCAATTTGGAAGGAACTGGATCATTATCAAAATGTGAATTGGAAGCGTGATGAAGATGCAAAGGCCTACAAATCACTTGTCTCCCAACTGAGTATTTTCTTTTCTTTTGGGGCTGAATCCTATGTATTAGTCCATGAGGGTACAAATCTTAGGAAGTAAGAACTTACCTTCAGTTCAGGAAGTTTATTCCTTAGTTCAGTCTGAAGAGAGTAGAAGAATGACAAAGACAAGCTTTGGTGCACTCCTCATTGTTAGAAGTCCAAACACATTAGAGACACATGTTTGGAACTCCATGGAATGCCTAAATGGGCTCAGGAATTGAATAAAAAACCAGCACCTGATCAGAGTAAGAAGCCAACCCAATAAAGTCAGAAGAAATATGACTCAACAAATGTGGCATCTCAAGAGACTAGTCCCATGGTACCCCAAGAGCAACACTCTAGTTTTGACCCCAAGGAAGAGATTATCAACTCTTTTCATGATCACTTCGAATTATATGGTAGGACACTTCACCTGATGGGGAACACTGCAACACTTTCCATGTGTCATCTCATACATCTGATTCCCCTTGGGTAATTGACTCTGGAGCCTCAAACCACATGACTGGTAAGTTTCTGTGGTGACCTAGAGGAGGAGGTGTACGTGACTCAACCGCTAGGTTTCTGTGGCAAAGGTAGTGAGTAGAAGGTGTGCAGGTTAAAAAAAGTCATTATATGGGTTGAAACAATCTCCTCGGGCCTGGTTTAGTAAGTTTCACTTAGTTGTACAGCAGATGGGTTTCAAACAATGCCAGCCAGATCATACTCTATTTGTGAAGAAAGGTGAAGGGAAAATTGCAGCTTTAATTGTGTATGTTGATGACATAGTGATCATAGGAGACTGGAAGAGTGAAATATAGAAGCTGAAGAAATTCTTAGCCACTCAATTCAAGGTGAAAGATCTAGGCCCCTTACGTTATTTCCTTGGGATTGAAGTCGCATGCTCTCAAAAGGGCATTTTTATTTATCAAAGGAAATATGTATTAGATCTATTAGAGGATGTAGGCAAGTTAGGGGTGAAGCCAATTGATTCACCCATTGAACCTAACCATCAGTTGGGAGACAGTCAGAGGGAGTTTTTGAAAGATGTGAAGAAGTTCCAGAGACTTGTAGCGAGACTTTTATATTTGTCTATCACCAGGCCTGATATTGCCTATGCAGTGGATGTCCTTAGTCAGTTCATGCATAATCCTAAGACAACTCACTTTGAAGCTGCAGAAAGGATCTTTAGATACCTCAAGAAGTTCCCAGGAGCTGGTTTACTATTCCAGAAATGGGCATTTGAAGGTTGACGTGTATACAAATGTTGATTGGGTAGGGGTAGTCGATGATAGAAAGTCTACCAATGGGTATTGTACCTTTGTGGGAGGAAACTTAGTCACCTAGAGAAGCAAGAAGCAAAGCGTGGTGGCTAGGTCCAGTGCTGAAGCAGAATTAGAGCTATGTCTCATGGAATTGCTGAAATCATATGGATAAAAAACCTATTAGGTGAATTGGGTTTTGCAGTTAACAAACCTATGTTACTCTATTGTGACAATAAAGCTGCTATCAACATTGCTGCTAACCCAATCCTCCGTGATAGAACAAAACATATTGAAGTGGACAGGCATTTTATTAGAGAAAAACATGTGAATGGAGAATTGTACACTCCATATGTCAGTTCAGAAGAACAACTTGTAGACATCTTCACCAAGGGCCTTCATCATGTGGCATAATAATTTGTGTGACAAGTTGGGCATGATTGACATCTATGTGCTAACTTGAGGGGGAGTGTTGGAATGTTTACTTTACATTTTATGCTTTTGTTCTTCTTAGTAAGGGTCTGTTTGGTCTGGTTAAAATAGCTTTTTTATCATTTTTTATGTACTTTGACTACAGCAGGGGCATAAGTGTCTTTTCCCTTTTAATTATGGTCACTCTATATATAATAATATAAGCTGGCGCCGCCAGACAGATTTATAACCCTCCAAACCTTTCACTTCTCTTCTTCTTCCTTATTTCTCCTCTTTTCTTCTGCTAATAGTATTTAATTGCATGTTTACAACTTTACATATACATATATTATTGTGGAAATTCTGTTAATTTTCTCTATTTTTTTCCTGCATTCTCTCTCACCTCCCTCATGTCATGTCACTTGCTTGGGCTTCCAGTCTTTTTTTTTGAGGTAAAAGCATGCAATTATTTCACTGATATTTCCTTGCTTTGGTAATGCTGCAGAATGGAGATGGTGGCTTTGCAACCTATGAACTGACAAGATCTTACCCTTGGTTGGAGGTAGATTTTGCTTTTAATACTTAAAGATACCATGTTTGTCATTAATTTATTGTCTTCTGTTACCTCTCTTAGCAAGAAATTGCTCCATGGGTTTACATAATAAACAGAGGTAACACTTATCACAAGCTGCTCACCTACCCTCAAACACATGGAAACACTCAGACACTAACAAGTAGTATGTTTTAGCATCATCTAATCTATCACATGCAGTTATTTACATGTGCAGAAACAAATCAACTAAGCAAAATATTAGGAGCCTAAGCTTGATTGTTATCATCAGTAATACCTGTTTTATGTTATGGGTATTCATGTAAAATGTAGGAGAGAAAGAGAGAACAGCGAGAGAATATAAAAGTTGGGGCATAATCAGTGAGTGACAGAGCCCCACAGGTCTACATACTATATTTTATTAATGTCAAAAAAGGTCTAGTGACTGGAATATCTCTGTATCTATATCACTAAGGTTTACAACAACTCTCCCTCAAGTGGGGTATATATATCATACATATCCTAGTTGTCACAACATTTAGCATGATGCAAGCCATTTACACTTTGGGGGTGTTTGCCAATATGTATGAATTTGTTTTTCAAAAGAAAAATAACTTAAACAAAATCATATTGTTTTTGCTGATATGAAAGTTGTTTTTGTTTTGAAAAACAAAATCATACATATTGGCAGACACCCCTTTAGTAAATATATTAGTCATTGCTCCTTTGGAGCTACAAAAGGAAGAAAATTTTACCCCTCTACAGCTTATCATGAATTTGTCCATTCAATGCATTTAGTTCTATCATGTTAGATCAGACTATGAGCAATGTTAATTGCTTCCCTGTTATCATAGCAGAGAGACATAGGGCTAGCAAATTTCTAACTATATCAAAGAAAGAAAATCTGTGAAACTTCAGCCACCTCATGTGACATTGTCCCGTGTTCTGCTTCAATGTGAATCTCACCACTACAATTTGTTTTTTACTTCTTTATATATCCAAGTTCCCACTGTCAAACACACAATAACCCCCAGTTGATTGCTGATCATTAATTGATCCATCCCAAACAATGTATGCTTCCCCTCTAAGATCATCATTAATTGATTTCACTCCTGAGAAGCGGCAGCCAGCAGAAGGGCATGAGGAGGATGATGATAGACTCACTATCCTGTCTAGCAAAGCTCCCCCCTGTTCGAACATGTGAGTTTTAAGTGATTCATGTGTTCCCCCTAACTTCATTTTAAGTGAGCTGTCGTGGGCTCCTTTTAACCCTTTGGCCTTCAACCCAAAAATACTTATGGGCTTTTGCTTATTTCCTGGCCTAGATTTAAGGACCTGCGATGCCACATGACTTTTAAAGGAGTCATACGAGTTCATCCCTTCACTCGGTTTGGTTTTAAATCTTCCATATTGGCGCCAGCTATGACCTGTGCAAAAGTCCGACCACTCTTCAATCTGTTTTCTTCTTCTTCATGCACACATAAAACCTTCCCCCTGTTCACTACCTTTTTTTTTCTCCAACAGGTGTTTTTCTGTTTTAATTTAAGCGCTATTCTTGTTTGAACCAGCCAATCCCTTATTGCCACGCAACTCTTCTTCAATCTTCTCATCTCCCTCCCTATGAGCCTCTTTCCAGAGCAAAGCTTCAATGGATGAAGCCAGCCAAACTGAATAGAACTGCCCTTCGACTCTCACCTCTTATCTTCTGTGGTATCTGGCTTTACTCCATTTAGTAAAATAGCATCCAAGTAGAGGTCTCCCCAGAAAACATCACCGAGTGACCCTCCACACATCAGTGCAATGGCTTCAGCAGTTTCTTGCTTCCACAAGTGAAAAGGTTGGCCTAGAATTCACACTAGCACCCCATCTTCAACAAAGAAATCTCTGGAATTTGACCCTGGACACCATCTTGAGATTGTGAAATTCCCAAGTTCGGCTTGGATGATTAAAGCCTCAACTTCTACTCTGTTCTCAAGCAAATCCAACAGTGCCTTACCCTTCTCAAAGAGGGTTAAGATGAACATTCTCTTCAACTTCAATCTTGTTAACAACTCTGCAACTTTCCTCCAGTCTTCTTAACAGGTTGATGTTTTAACTATCAGTTTATTTCACCAGTCTTCTCTCTTTAGATTTGCTCCCATTCTGTGTTTTTCTACCCCAGTTGTCATTATTAGAGCCTCTTTCTTACTATCCTCAACCTAGCTTGTAGTATTGTTTGTCTTTCCCTTTAATGTTGAGTTTTCTTCTCTTTTAGCACCCAACTATTGCAGCAGTTCACTTAATACCCCATGAACTTCCTTCCAACCCTGACCTTTCCTTCCCACTGGGAAACAGACAATCCGCTTCCTATCCTTGCCAAAGTATTCCGTCAAAGATATAAAAGACCCTTTACTTTGAACTAAGCTAACAAACTATGCTGTTCACATCTCAAACTGAACAAGGACCTACTTGTCAAATTCAGAAAGTGAGTAACCAATCAAAAATGGTTCGGGAATTGAGTAAATTACTTCTCCCATCTTGAACCCAAACTCACAGGATCCATTAGCTTGAAGTTAGTGTTAACTTATGCCAACATCCAACAGAGCTTCATTGGGAAAACTGGAACTCAGAATCTTATTAAATAAACATCAATCGAGATATTCAATTATTGGAATCATTGAAATTGGTATCGTCCATTGGGTGAAGACAAAAGAGCTCTCCTGTTTTACTAGAACAACATTATCAAAGGATGAGAAATGGTGGCTTTGACATCGGTTACAGAAATACTATATATCATGAACTCTCCTTCCTCAAAACAGGATAAAATTGAATTTTGATAGCTGTAGCATCAGGAATCCTGGGGAATCAGGCATTGGTAGTGTCTTCAAAGAGTCTTCTATGAACATGAAGGAAGCATTATACTGGCATTTTCAGGTTCAAAAGGAATTTGAAAGAGAGTCAGAGAAGAAAAAAAAGTTGATTGAGATTAGCAAACTCTTCAGGTCTTAGTGATTTGACTGTTGAAGGGACTACCATAATAGCTTGATTGTGGAGTGAAATGGCTGGACCATGGAATGTCTGACATCACATTGGAGAGCCAAGATATCTGTCTCATACATCGGATGCTGATTCTTCTTGGACCCCTTGGTCTGCTTACTCTCTTGTCAGTTTACTGGCCTATAACAAGGTAAGCAGATATTGTTTGAAGTGGCTTGGATATCCATTAATTTAAACTTCTACTTGGTCTCTTTGGTTTGCAGTGGGGGAGGCGGGGAGCAGTGCTGGGCTAGCTCCATGAGATTTTGTTGTTGAAATAATTATTATTAATAAAATTTTGTCGAGTCACTGATTAAAAAAAAAAAAAGAAAACAATGTACTTGTCGTCTTCATATCCTCATCAACCCAATTCAAATAAAATCAGCCTTGGTCCAAACTATTTGTGGTTGGGCATACAAATCCTATCTTGCCATTTTGCTCTATAAAGATCCATGTTTTGAACAAATCCATCTTCAGAGCCTTATCCCAATTAATATTTCTTCTTGGGTTGTGATTCTGAAAGTGAATTGATTAAAATGTCCTAAATCTTCTTTTTGTTTTTTGAAATTGTTGCTGCTTACTACAGTTACCTTACTGGGAATGTAATCCTACTTTGTTTCTTTTTGTAATTTCAGTTAATCAACCCAGCTGAAACTTTTGGTGACATTGTTATTGATTACCCGTAAGACACCAGTATCTCATTTTCTAATTTTATCTATAAACTTCATTATGCGTTGATGGAGAGTTTTCATGTTAAATGCCTTGAATGGGATTGCAGTTATGTAGAATGCACCTCAGCAGCAATTCAAGCATTGACATTGTTCAGGAAATTATATCCAGGGCATCGGCAAGAAGAAATACAAATTTGTATAGAAAGAGCTGCTAACTTCCTTGAAGAGATACAAGCAAGTGATGGTTCATGGTCTGTGTTTCTTTCTTTTCTTTAGCTGAATAAAATGAGGTTGTTAGTTTCTATGCTGTAATTGACTGCTCTCTTCCATCTTAGTAAAGGTTATACTTGCCAATCAAAAAAGAAAGGATGTTCTCTTTATTTTATTTATTTATTCCATCAAGTTTGATTAGTTAAGTTCCAATTTTAGATTACATGATTCATTTGATGAATCCTTCAATAGGTATGGTTCTTGGGGAGTCTGCTTCACCTATGGAACATGGTTTGGGATAAAAGGGTTGATAGCTGCTGGCAGAACCTTCAAAAATAACTCTAGTATTCGTAAAGCTTGTGATTTTCTGTTGTCCAAACAGCTTGCTTCAGGTGGCTGGGGAGAGAGTTACCTTTCCTGTCAGAACAAGGTTAATTTATTCACATTATTTGTCAATATCCTTATCCTTCTTTTAATATCCAAGATATGTTCAATGTTGGATGTGAATTGTGAATGGTTCCCTTCTTGTTAATTTGTGAATTGTCAGTATATTGCATTGTAAGGATGTATCTTTGGTTTATTCTCAGATGCTGAAACTGCCTTGTTACCAAATCCACAAGTTCTCTAAAATTTTTAGCAAATAAATGATATGATCATAGTTCAACTAAGAAGTGGGATTTGGAAAGAAAACCATTGTGTTGTAATTTTTTATACTCCATTCAAGATTTTCTTTTTTTGCAAAAGAAAACATACAACATGCATACAAGTGATTTTTTTCCAATCAAAAGAAAAAAAAGTTAGCCAAACCCCAGCCCTATGCATGATACATTGTACAAAATCGTTCACAAATTGGTTTCCAGCCTAACCCACAACGAGCGGCAGTGGCAACCCTTAACCAAAATTTCTTGTTCACTCTATCCCTCTTTGCATGCCTCTTGAATTCTATTGACTTTTAATGAATTTGTCATCAATCAGACAAAAAGGATAGATATAGAGCTTTTTTTCATGTGGTCAGTGTTAGGGGGGGGGGTTAAGGCAATGGGAGTATGGTCCTCCTGAAGGACAGAGGATGGCCTTCCTGGGAGGAGGAGGGGTGGTGCAAGGAAGTTGCAGTGGGTAAAGAGTGATGAGGGTTGTGCCGAAATGCAAAATGATGGTACTCTCTTCTGAAAGACGTGAGTGGCTGGGAGGCTTGGTCTTCACCTTATTTATGTAGAGTCTCTTGTTCGACTGGGAAGGTAATTGTGTCAAGGAAGGAGATCTTCCTTGTCGGGGTGATTCTGTGGGTAGGTTGGATAAGAAGAGGGGTCTCATGAGTAGAGTTTCGCCACGGGGTCTCAGGGCCAGAGGCTTATGCCTCTTCTCCAAGGTTTGCTTGTGAGCACGGACTTAGCTACAACTCTGCTATCAGGGACCCCTTGTTGCTTAGCCGTAACTAAAGATAGATCATCCATGCTTGTAGTTACATCCATTCCAGGTGCGAATGTTGTGTCAGCGCAAAGCTATATGCTGGCGTGGGTTACAAAGATGCCTGAGTTTATCATATGCACAGACTTGTGTGTCCCTCTTTTATTTGTGCAGAAGTCTGGAGCTTGGCAGTGTTGTGTGGGCGCTGTAGGCGCTTGTCCCAGTGCCTTTCGGTCTAAGTCCATATACTTACATGTAGCTTATTCAAATAAGATCCTGACTAAGGATAATCTCATGAAGAGAGGTTTGGGAGTTGATTCTTTAGTTTGTTTCCTCTGTAATATGGTGGAGGAGACAGTTGATCACCTGTTATTACATTGTAAATTCTCTTATAGCATTTGGGTAAAAGTATACAGTTTGTTTGCTCACAAGGGTTGCTATCTGGAATCGGTGGAGAGTTTTTTGAAAGGGTGACATTTATATTCCTCCTTAGAAATAGTAATTATGCATCTTTGAGCTGTGTAGATGTGGCAATGCTAGGCTGCCTTGGATCTGAGAGACTGAGAGTATAGCAGTTCATATTCAGAGTTTCAGACTTAATTCATAAATAAAAATTTTGCCACATCTTTTTCCTACTGTTCCATAACTATAATATCTGAGATAATAGATAGATTGACGTTTAGTTCCTGACAAAGTCCCATAATCTCTAACTAGTTCTCAAGAGTTTATCTCTGGGTTGTGGATTAAAGAATGACTGAAATAATTAGTAAACACAAGTAATGTTTACTAATCAAGTCTTTGCCTGCTACTCTCCTCACATGTTCCCAAATCAAGAAAGATCAATGTACAGGTCTATTTGCATGCTACTCTTCACCAAAATCAACCCTCACAATCAAGTATTTCAACAAATAACTTCATAATCACTCCTGGTTTGTACCAATAGAGGGCAATACATCACTTGGCTACAGTTACAACAGTTGTAGTGATGGATAGTACCATCACTGGTTGCTCTCAGAGCCACTCAAGTCTGATCTACTTCTCAGATTTTTCTAGGTAAATGAAGAAGAATAGAGAAAGAGTAGACTGCAGCAGCAGCAGAGATGAGTCACACAGTCTGGTAAATTCCCTGCTCTGATACCATGTACAGATTCTGTCTATGGTACGAAGAAACAGGTAGAAGAAAATATCAAAATAAAAGGAGATCAAAATAATAATAAAAAGACGTAAATACCTGAGATCTAAATGAAATAATACCTCTGTTTATGAAATTGTTGTGTTTCCTAAACTACCCCATTTAAGTAATAATAAAAAGACGTATACACCTGAGATCTAAATGAGAATGAACATACAAACAACATCAACAATAACTGCTTTCTCAACAATTCTTATTAATCATATTATTCTAAGTTCTTTTAATTTTTCTTAATATGAGATTTTAATCAGGCATCGGGGGTGTGTTTAGACACCATGATGGCAGATTAGCAGCATTAAACTCAAGACCTATAGGGTGCAGGCTCTCGATAAAGAGCAGAACTTGGCTGTATTCCAAGGTCTAAGAATAGGGAGAGACCTCAACTATAACTAGCTGCAGGTAGAGGGGGATTCAAAGGTTATGGTAGGATGGCTCAAAAGCAATAACCAGGACTTTTGTGCTTGTTTAGCAGGTTAAAAAAACAAAAAAAAAGGCAATAGTCAGGGGCATTGGCAATATAATCATATTCTGAGAAAAACCAGACATCTAGCTAGAAATTTGGAAGCTAGATTCACTTAGATTCAAAGATATGTAATTTTATGGCAGATGTCTGGCTATACAAGGAATCACCAGAGCACATTGGGGGGTCATTCCAAGGGGAAATGATTACATTGTAATTTAAAAGGACAAAGGAATATGGGTTTGGTAGCATGGCTAGCCCACAACATCGGATGCTTGGCATTTACATTGTATATATCACAAATTCTTTCAAATAATTTAATAAAGAAGTTCAGTTACCAATAACATATATCATTCTAAATTCTTGGCTTGAACATCAATCTTCCGGACCTTAATACACTAGATCTTGCAGTTAAGAGGTTTGGTTCCATTTTTAAAATACTGGAAAGAATCAGAAAGAGTGCAACAGGAAGGGTAGAAATACAGACAGCAGAGAGTACAGCCTCTCAATCATGAGAACCGATGGGATCAATCAATCATAAAGAGACCATTTTAAGAAAATATGCTGCTTAAAACTTGATAAAATAGAAAAGAAAAAAAAAAAAAAACATAGTTCCATTCTTTCTATTCAAAACAGTGAAGTTGTTTAGACTTTAATGCATGCATTAGGCAACTTCCATTTTTCAATTAAATACACGTATTTCTTTGCCCTTTGCATTTTTTATCAATGATAAGGTTAGAAGTGATCTACTGCAAGTGGAAAAGAAGAAAAAGACAAACACCAAGCCCTGGTGTTGGCATGACCAAACAAGGGAACAACCTTGCAATAGGTAACAATATCCAACTAGGTGCACCTAACTGTAACATGACTTCTATAAGAATGTACCAAAACTAAAACTTACTCAGTGGAGAAATCAGAGTTGTAGAAAGTGGGTAGAAGATTCCTAATTGAAATCAAACTTTACCCCAAGACAATCCAACTTGCTTAAGTCATCAGACTTCTTCAAAGTCACCGAATAACTAAGCTCCATTTTTTGTATAGATTACCAGATTCATCCAAATTTTATAATCTTAGTCCAGAAAAAAAAAGGGCTAATCAAGTTTGCTTGTCATCATTGTCACAAGAGACTATCAATTTCTTACAATAAAGATGATGGTTATGATTTTAATCACAGGATTAGACTATGCCAGTTAAGAAAATTAAGTTTTACGTTGATGACAAAGAATTGTGCTACTATTTTTAGGCATGAATTTAGGTGATGGCATAAAAGCAGATTTGTTCAATTATGTTAATGATTTATAGAATATTAATGAAAATTTTGATTCTTTACTATCATTCAATTCTTGTATGAAAGACCAATTCAATGTTGCTCATATAGGTGTACACAAATCTTGGGGGAAACAAAGCACACATAGTAAATACCGGATGGGCCATGTTGGCTCTCATCGATGCTGGCCAGGTATGTACAAGTACAATATTTTGCAATATGTGATCTTAAGTTATAAAACTTTTACCTGAACTAGGGGTGAGCATTATTTGGTTAAAACCAAAAAAACCAAACTGAAAATTTTGGTTCATTTTTTTCGGTTTTCTGTTTTAAGGTTTAGAAATTTGGTTAACCAAAAAAACCGAATTAGCCGAACTTTATATATATTAACATATAATACATATATAATATGTATAAAATATATTATATTATGTATTAAAATATATAATTTGTTATAGACATTTTATTATATAATATATACTAAAATATATATTATATATTAAAACATACTCTACAATATATATTAAAATATATAGTATTGAAATTCGGTTTTTTAATATTTCAGTTTTTAACTGAATAAACTGTTTGCTCACCCCTAACCTGAACCATTAAAGTTTTAAATTTATAGCTTCTTGAATCTTATCTTCTTTTTTTCTCCAAGGCCATTATATCAAAGGAGATGGAACTGAACAAGAATATTAAAAGGGAAAAAATGTAGAAAAATGATGTAGTTATCCTCTGCAGAACTTTTTGCTTATTTATGTGCTGCTTGGGGAATCTATTTTCTTAAGATATTTCCTAGATAAATCATATATTTATTATTATATATTTTAGCATATGTATAATATGTAGTTTAATGGTAAGTTTGCTGATTTTAATTTAAGTGGTTTAGGTTCAAGTCATACAAAAAAATAAATAAATAGACACTACCCAATGTTGCTCCTGGCTATCTGGCATTTCTCAGACTAAAACCCGCATTCTTATGCTTGCCAGCCCAAGATTTTACAATTACACCAATAGTTTCTACATTTTGTCAATATAGACATTAAAAAAAAGAAATAAATGGTGTTGCAGCTTATTGGTAACATTGATAACATACGGTTGAGTTCAATTCCCCTCAGTGTCATTTTACAACATACAATGAAGCAATGGCCCGATCAGGTTGTTGAAAACTGGCTGGGTTACCAAATCTGGACAGTTTTTGACTGTTTACCCAGATTGATAGTGGGTCAGACAGTTTTTGAAGAAAACTAAAAACTGGATTCCCATCAGTTCCCAAGTCTGAGGTCCCATGGTTCAGTCAGAGCTGAGTCTTACAACATTAGTCTCCAAGGACACTGAAAAATTATTGTGCCAAATAAATTTTCAAGCATCACTTTATACATCTTTATGATCTTGTACTTCTTGCATTGGACATCCTCTTAATTTCTCTTCAAATTGAAATTTGAGTAGGCTGAGAGAGACCCAACACCATTGCACCGTGCAGCAAGATCATTGATAAATTCCCAAATGTTGAATGGTGATTTTCCACAGGAGGTAATTCTCTGAGCCATACCATGCAGCATGCATGATTTCGTTAATATCTACATCAAGTTCATTTGTGCATACTGTTATTATGATAGGGTTATATTGGTAGAGTCTAAAATGCAATATCTGATATTCTTGAATATGTTCCACTTGCAGTTTGGTTTTACCTGCATCATCTATATGATGCCATATTTCCGCCTATGCTACTTTTAAGATTGTGATTATTTACTTTTTATTTAATTCTCATATTGTAACTCAGCCATTTAATTTGAWATCTCYACTTTTGTATGTTAGAATGGACCAATAGATTTTCTTTTCTGAACTAATTTGTGTAACATTCAATTCCTATAGGAATCTCGATATCTTTAATATTTAATGCCAATACTTTACCTTGGCCTCACAATACGGCGACTGTCCCAAAAATAGAAACCCAGTGCCAGTTAGTTCATTTGTTTTTGTTTTTTGGTAAACAGCTAGTTCAGTGTTTAGGTCCATGAAAATACTTCCACTCCACTGTATCAAGTATCAATTACGTAATTGTTTATACACAAGTAGTGTAGCTTAAATTTCCACTTCTTTGATCTTGCTACCTAATACCTAAATCCTTATGATACGATATTTTATAGCACATTTGCTTGTTGAAATGAATAAGCCATTGTAAGACTATTGAGTTTCGTATGTCTTCCTATCTTCTGTTAAGCAATTATAAAACCCCTGGCGCTATTTACTGCTGTATAACTATTTTTTTCCCTTTTTTCACTTACAGGAAATCATGGGTGTCTTCAACCGGAATTGCATGATCACCTATGCCGCCTACAGAAATATTTTCCCAATATGGGCACTAGGAGAATACCGCTCTCGTGTACTTCAGGCTCATTGAAATATCTATATTTATGAATATGCCATTTTCAACTTGTGACCACTTTGAATTTTAAATATATTCTGTCTTTTTTTTTTTTTTGTGAACATTCTGTTTGCTTTTACAAAATAACCATCGTTTTACGTAACGTTTGAGGCAAATTCTTGGCTTAATTTGGATCGCAGGTTGGATTTGGATTCTATTCCCACTTGATTCCCTGGAATTGAATGACACACTTGCCCTTTTCCTGTGTGCATCTTCCAAATCCCACACTTAAACTCCATGAAGGGAGCTATAAAAAGAGCCAAACTACAGATTCTGAAGATTTGTGGAATCAATGAATCAAGTTCTGTTTCCAATTCCATTTTCCAATCTGATCCAACTGCAGCCTAATTCGCTCTCCCATATGAGATGGGATATATTGACGTTTTAAGAGTTGGCCTAGACTAATTGGTTTGGCCATGAAAACCAGGAACAGATGGCCTTTTCAGGTCCCGGTTAAACGACAGTTTTCACAGTTCCAAATGGGCAAACTAGCAGTTAACCAGTAAAATTGGGATCCTTGGGGCATTCCGGTTTCTAGACTGGTTCAAGTCTTACAATACTGGGATATATCTTACTTGTCGAAGGAAAAGAAAATAAAAGACTATATATATATATATATATATATATATATATATATATTCCGAGATGCAATTAGAGGCATTTCTTCTTGGGCTGCATTTGGCATTCCTTATTTTAAGGACTTTTCTTCTTTTTACATTTAAAAACTCAGTATTCATAGGGACATCTTTAACTGTAAAAAGGAGATAAGTCCTTAAAATAAGGAATGCCAAATGCAGTCATAGTGTTTTACATGGAGAGCTCATATGAAATCAGTGTTTTAGACTTCCAGGTGTGCAGCCTGTGAACAGTTTCACACAAGGCTTAAATTAGGGTAAAATATAAAAACCTCCCCTGAAGTTTCATTTTAATAAAAACCTCCCTTCTAGTTTTGAAAAAAAAAATCCTGCAATTACCTCTTATCATTGTCTAAGAATTTCTTTTAGTTAAAAATTAAAAAAAAAAATTGGAGTATTTTAGTAAATCTCCATCTGAATATTGATAGACATAAGGATAAAATGGGTATTTTTAAAAAATTAATGCATTAGGCCAATGTTTTCTTTCTGCGAGGAAATCAACCACTCATTATAATCATATGAGTTCTAAATTCTAACTCATCTTCTCTTTTTTGTGCATTCTTATCAACAAATTTTAAAAACTATTGATTATTAAAATTCATATATTTATAAATATTAACAATAATTATATTGATTTTCTAAGAGTTAGGATATAGTTGCATCTCTTAATTATTCTATAATTTTTCAATATATCCCAATTGCTTTTTTTTATGGTTTATACTTCACATAAAGCACTAAATTTTGTGATTTTTATTTGAATACCCATGTGTTCAGGTGGAATTTTCATAAGTGTATGCAATTCACCCATTCCACGTGCCCATATCTTTGGATGCCAGTTCGATACACCTTATATCGGGTGTATTATGTTGATATTTCGAACCTTTAGCTTATCCAAAAAAGGCAAGAAGTGTTTCTAAGAGAAGAGAGAAGTGTTTCTAGAACCGTTGTTTGTAGAATCATTAGTTTTACAAGATTCCTACCAGTGTTACCTACCATTGTTTGTTGAATCGTTGGAGTGTTGGTGAGAAATAAATGCTTGTAGAAATGTTGGGGCAGTGAAGGGAAAGAATGAGAGAAAATAACGAGTGAAGTCACTTTCTAACTTGTCAAAACAATGTAGGCGTTGTTTGGATATATTTTTACTTTTGTATTTTAAAAACATTAAAGTATAAAGTACATAAAATACTTTTATTTTGGTATTTTTTTTTCTTTGAAAACCATTAGGTAAAAAATTTTGAAAAGTATGCTTTTCAAAACAAAAGTATAATTTTTTGTTTGGAAAAAGCATTTCCAATCATTTGACAATTTGAGATAGGCGATAGGGTCTACCCACTTGGATCAAGACTTTTATAGGAGGGTGGTCTACCCACTTGCACGAAAATGGAAGCATTATTTTGCCAAAAGCATTAAGTATAAAATGTATGATTACCAAAAAAACACTTTTAAAAAGTATGAAATTAGAAGTATAAATTATACAATACAAATGCTATATCCAAAAAGTACTTTTTACTTTTAAGCGAGGTTCAAATATTGATACGCTGGTAGGGGCATATTGGGCGATACCGATACTTCTTTTTTACTTTTTTTATTTTTTCAAAACCGATTCAGGGGGCTGGTTTAAGAATCCTCCACCCCCCTGAGCTAGCTAGAACCCTGATACACCCACTATAGGAGCATATCGGGGAGCTCCCAAAATGATACATATCAGCCGATACGGCCGATTTGGATAGACTTTTATAAAGTTCTTCTGCACTTTTGAAAGCATAAAAGTACGAAAAACATGACAGTGTTTGTATTATATATTTTGTACTTTTTTGCTTTCATACCTTTAAATGTATGAAAAACCCCAAAAACACGAAGTCGGGTTTTTATACTTTGTACTTTTGGTGAGATTATGCTTTCATTTTCGTGCAAACTTGACAAAATTCTCCATTTACCACTGCTAGAGTCGAATTGTTGTCATTGGTCTCTGACCCCGAAACAGAAATTGGTACAAATGGACATACTTTTGCCAAACAGAAATTGGTACTTCTGTTTTGAAAAGCATATTTTTCAAATTTTTTTATTCAAATGGTTTTCAAAGCAAAAATGCCAAAGTAAAAGTATTTTATGTACTTTATACTTTGATATTTTTAAAAGTACAAAAGCAGAAGTCTGTCCAAACAATGGCATAAATGTTGGTACTTTTACTTTGAAACCATTTGAATGAAAATTTTCCAAAAACATATTTTCAAAGTAAAAATAAATATTGGCGTTTGTATACAATAAAATGTTATGTGTGTGTGGCTCGTGGCATCATATATGGATGTCATACAACAAAATGTTTTAAAATTAAATAAAACATTAAACAAATGCACAATCATAATTTCAACATCATTACAAAAGGGTGGAGGGAGGATTTTGCTCCACCCAAAAAACACTTGGGAGGTTTAAGTATATTTGTCAAAAAAATTGGGGGAGTTATTTGCAAAATTCCTACGTTGCAAAGTACACAAACTATAAAGTACAAAATGAGGGCTCATACTATAGAAAAAGGGTTTGTATAGAGAAAAACGGTAAAAGACTTAAACATGCCTCAGTTTTCATAAATTAACGTCCCTGAGTTTTTCGAATAAACTTAAACCATATGGTTTTTGAAAACGAACCGGTGATGTCATCAAATCTCAAACTAAGTAATAAAAAAGCGAAATGACAATTTACTTGATTCTTGGGAGAGATGGCGCTGTAAGAAGCAAGCCTTGTATAATTATTTGCCCTCATTTCTTCTGCTTTTAGTTTTTACTACATTTTTTTTTGTTATGTGGTATGAGGCAAAAGAGAGAAACAGCTTCATTATTTCCGATATTCACCAAAATACATCCTGCAGGGTAAGAGAAAAAAAAATTATGAGAAATAAAAATACAACAAAGTTACTAACATTTATATACTAGCATAGCTTTTAGTTGGATTTAAGAAATTGATTTAATTTGTGTATTTCAATATATATGGAGGTGCTATCAATCTTGAGAATAGTAGACATTAGTGTGAAGTGAATATTTAGATGAAAGATACCACAAAAAAATTAGATAAACGCAGATTAATAGGCCTATAGTCTGCACCCTATTTCTAAACTGAAGACTCGTGTGGACCAGAGAAAAAATCAAATTGCTAATTAACCAACAAATGAAATGGCATTAGACATAAAAAAATAAATAAATAAATAAATAACAGATACCTTTGATCTAGGAAACTGATGAGGGCGGATTTGGCCCTCCAATGACATTGTGATATATGGCATCTCAGAACAAATAGGTGACACCCGGAACTACTCAGGCAATAACTTGTCAAGTTGATGGTGTCCAACCTGGCGGCCTAGCCCAGCGTGACCTGGCACATGCGCCGACTTGGCAGCCTGCCCCAAGCGCGAAATGGCGGCCTGGGCCAGGTGTCGACCTGGCGACCTGCGAGGCATGCTCGCCGACAAATTCGGCATGCATACACCACGATCCTTGGAGGTTGGCCATCATTCCGGAAGATGGTTAAGATGCATGGAAGTTACCTCCGAAGATCTCGAACCAGTTAGACACACGACCTCCCGGAGATCTCGGGTGCGGTACATGAGCAAGGCCTATACAAATGCACCAACCCCAATGACAAGGAGCAAATGAGCAAGTGAGCAAGTAAGCAGATTCTAACTCTCATACTTTATGATTTTTTAGCTTGCAGTCTACTATGAGAGTACTAACTTAAGCATTGGAGTGACATCGTCGGGTTAGCCACCTCGGGTCCTCTGACATTTGGTTCCTTGTAGTTCTCTAAAGAGCAACGAAACTCATCAATCCAGCTCGACACCTCATAGTCAGCTTGCCACTAGGCAACTCGGTACGTAGTTAGCCCGACACCTCACAAGCAGCTCGGCACCTGGTCAGCTCCTCATAGGCAGCTCGCCACTATAGTCAGCTTGCCACCTAGCCTACCTAGCTCGACTCAGCTCGGCAGCCAAAGTTCTCCACTTCGGCCTGAGTCATCGGCCACTTGGAAGCAGACCAAAGGACGAGGTACTTAGCACAAAAAATTGGCCATCACCAAAAATTGATTCATCAATTGGCGCAGTCTGTGGAAAACGATGCAAAAAGCTAAGTTCTCATTTTTTAGAAACTAAAAGCTCTCACTTTTTAGTCTTCATTTTTTATGAACTCAAAGACTATGCAGGAAGTTGATGGCCAACAGATTAAGCAGTTCTACCAACTTTATTTCAACTCGAATAAAGCCTCATCAGTGCTCTTCACGAGGTACCCTCTACAAAGATGCACTCTTCGTGGCGTCTACAGGAGTAGGCAGCCAACAGATTGCATGGATGCCCTTACTAGTCGAGCCTTCCAAGGCTCCCGTGCGAGCTAGTGACCTAAAGTCAGTAGTGCTACCCCCGTAGGTTGAGCTCCTAGTAGCTTCTTGTAGGAGTGGTAACCGACGTCACTAATGAGGCTGATGCAGCGCAGCCTGGCTAGGCGCGACCTGGCAGCCTGGCACAGGCGCCGACCTGGCAAACTGGCCCAAGCGCAAACTGGCAAGCTAATAAAAGACTTCAGCTTCACATAAGACCCAGTCGCTTCTTTGGCATGGGCAAAATCAAAGATCAAGGAGAGTGGACTACGAGTCGCTTCTAGTGCCTAAGGGCTAAAGTGCTGAACTAATAAAAGACATCGGCACCACATAAGTCCCAGTCGCCTCCTCGGTATGGGCATACAAGTCCCAGTCGTCTCCTCGGCATGGGCACATAAGACTCAATCGCCTCTTCGGCATGGGCAAAATCAATGATAAGGAGAGTGGACTATGAATCGCTCCTAGAGCCTAAGGGCCAAAATACCAAACTAACGAAAACCTCCTCACCATATAAAACACAATCGCCTCTTCGACATGGGCAAAATCAAGTTTTACTTCAAATGTTGCTTTTAAATTTTCATTTGTGCATATTGTTATTATAATAGGGTCATATTGGTAGAGTCTAACATGCAATATCTATATTCTTGAATATGTTCCAATTGCAGTTTGGTTTTACGTGCGTCATCTATATGATGCCATATTTCCACCTATGCTACTTTTAAGATTGTGATTATTTACTTTTTATTTAATTCTCATTGAAATATCTATATTTATGAATGCCACTTTGATTGATGATGGATCATCAAGATTATTCTGACTGAATACAGGACAGAAATAATAAATTAGGTACATAGGTAGAAGATGAAACAGATTTTGGGATTGCATGGTCAAAATAAATGATGCTTATTAACCTGACGATGATTTTCAAATCTTGTATGAAAGCAAGCATACATACATTCACACATAATACAACCTCTACTACTATTGCAATCAATGCATTATATTACAAGCTGTCCTCACTTCCTCCATGGTAGCGATACATGACATATGTGGCCACACTAATTTTTTCTTTCTTTCTTTCTTCTTTTTTTATGAGGCAAAAGAGAGAAGCAGCTTCATTACAAAACACATCCTACAGGGAAAGAGAAGAAAAAAAAGCAATTACAAGAAATAAAAATACAATATAGTTACTAACATTTATATACTATTAGTAAACATGTAGGTGCGTTTGCAGATAAGTAAAAGTATCTCTAAGACAAAACAATTTATAATTCATGGATAATTTATAGACAGTTATAAGTGGGTAGTTTCTACAATGAGAGTAAAGGATATATATGCCCTTTTTATGCCCATTGTATGTTTAGATAGAGAGTTACATAGCTTTTAGTTGGATTTAAGAAATTGATTTAATTAGTGTATTTCAATAATACATATGGAGGTGCTATCAATTTTGAGATGATATGGCAATAATAGTACCTTAAAATTTGGAAATTCCACTAATTAAGTTTATTGAATTATTGGATCCAAGTCTCTCAACACAACACAACACAACACAATTCTACTTATAGTATAATAGACATTACACAACAAACACGAGTTAACTCTGCCCTGGAGATACATCAGATGTAAAATCATGTTAGCCAAATCAAATATTTATTAATGTGAAGTGAATATTTAGATGAGGGGTTTCAATTTCAATTTCAGACACTGGTTTAGTTTTTGCTCTCTACCGTATCAATGCATGGTAATATCATGTACTACTACTGAAGGACAAAAAACAAAAAACCAAAACTATGATTAAATTATTTAACCAAACTCTAATTTATTTTTTAATCATGATACTTGCGCAGAGATAGCTAGTAAAGTAATGATGATTTGGCGAAATTATTGGAATTTACTAATTTATTAAGATGATGAAAATAAAGAAAGAGAGAGAGGGACGGGGTGGGGTGGGGAGTATCTAGTAGATATATAGAAAAAGGTAGTAGATCATCTAAAAAATAAAATTAGCTGTAATCAAATTTGTGTTTGGATGGAAGGGATAAAGACAATAAGAATAATTAATTATATTGTTTAAATTAGAATAAGTTTATAGAAATAAAAGAAATTAGAACATACAAATGAATTAATTACAGAAAGATAAAGAGAAAGAGAGAGGATATATGTATGGACTAACCTTGGATTAATCCATGTCGATGTGGACATCTGGAATATGAGCAATCTTGTTCCAATCCTCCCCTGTCTGTCTGTTATATCTCATTGTTAAATGGGGACAATCTTCAATGTGCAACCGTTTTAATGATGTGAAGCCTTGGATCCCTTCCCACAGGGATGTCAGGTTGGGACAATTGATGATCCATAGTGCATTGAGTGACACCAAAGAGTAATTTTGTGCCAGGGATGTCAGATTAGAACAATTTGCTATTCTCACTCGTTCAATCATCGTAATCCATGAAGGTAATCTTGTGCCAGTAAATCCAGATATAAAAAAATATTTCAGATTGGAGTGAGGTTGGAGAGTTTCCAGCAGCACATCCGGAACAGATGAATCGACCTCCTGATCCTGCAGTAGATCATTCGAAACAGAAGAAGAAGCGTCGTCTGTTTCCCAGCGGAGGATCAGAAAACGAAGGTTGCGTTTTTCCTTCAATAACTTTGAGCAGATAATTGTTTGTTTATCAAGGTTGAGATTGTGGCACCAGCCAGCTTTGAAAGTTATAATTAATTCGCGAAGATGATTGAGTTGCTCCAACTCTCCAATACCAATACCAGAATCCTTGCCGCCCACTGGCATCTTCTCGATGCCACTCAAAGCAATATTCAGATGCCTCAAATTAATCATCTTTCTCATATCTCGTGGGAGTTGTTTGAGATTCTTGCACCCAAAGAGCAGCAACGTCTGCAAGTTGTAGAGGTTGGTGATTGAGTCGGGTAATTGTCGAATGCCTATAAATGAGAGGTCAAGGTATCTTAAATGTTTCATCTTGCCGATCTCAGGTGACACCAAATCCTCCCTACTCTCAAAATAGTCATAAGTCAAGGCCAACACGCGTATGCACTTAAGGTTTGAGATATAATCAAACAGATTTTGAGGATAAGAAGAGAACGCAGTCTCCTTACAGTTGTCCGGCCTGGTTCATTGCTAATCCCATTCACTGATTGTGCAAGGTCGTGCATAAAATCATGCATATATTTCGCCTGTAGATTCAGATATCTCTACATCTTGGAAAAACGACCTACCCAATAAGCTATTAAAGTATTCCTCAGCGGTATCTTCCAATGAAACCTCATCATTATCTTCTCTAACCACAAACCCAAGTGCAATCCATTGCCTTTTCAAAGCTTCTTTATAAAGGTCATCACCTTTTGGAAACACAGAGCAGTAGGCAAAACACTGCTTCAAATAGTAAGGCAAATCATCGTAACTAAGCTTTAGTGCTGGTAAGATTTTCGTATTGCCTCCAAATTCCACTCTCTCTCACCGACACCCACTCCTCTTTTGACCTTTTGTTGCACATCAGCCCTCCCAGTGCTTTCGCTGCTAATGGCACACCTTTACACTTTTTCACCAACTCCATTCCGATTTCTACCAGATCATCATCAGCTACAATAATATTTTTATCCCTTCCCACATCAACCACCCCACCACCAAATGCTCTTCGTTTGAATATGGACCAACAATCTTCATCGGATAAACCTTTCAAACGGTGCATTAGAGGTTTACCCCCCATCATGGATGCAACCTTCTCACTGCGTGTTGTTACAAGGATTTTGCTTCCTCTAGTAACACCATCTCCTGATAAACAACTTGTCAATAAGCGACTCCATTGTTCATCATTGTCATCCTCCTTCCAAACATCATCGAGGACAAGTAGATATCTCTTCCCCTCTAACGTCTTTCCAATTTCTCCTACAATTGTATCCCAATTATCTAGGCTACAACTCCTTTTTGTAGCTGATTCTATGATTTTCCAAGCCAGTTTTTTGGCATCAAAGTCATCAGACACACACACCCACATTTTTAAATCAAAACACTCATGGATGGATTTATTATTGTAGACTGATTTAGCTAATGTGGTCTTGCCCAATCCCCCCATCCCAACAATGGGAAGGACAGAGACGACAGTAGTCTCTTGGCTGCTGCTATCAATTAACCTCTCTATGATAATTGATTTATCCTTATCCCTCCCAACAACCGGTAATTCTTCATCTAAAAATGCAGTGGTTTCACGGTTGCTTATTCTTCTCTCCTTATGATCAACACTACTACCAGAGGCCATGTTTCTAAAACCAAACACTTCCCTCTGTTTATTCATTTCATCTAATTGTGCATTGATATTCCTAATCTTATGAGCCATCTTAAGACGAAATGCAACTGGATTGGAGCAGGGTGAGAGAAAGTTGCATTCCTTCTTCATGTTGTTTCCAATCTCTATCTTGCGTCGCAAAACTTCTGTTGCATATTCGTCCAGTATGTCATCAGCTTCGTAAGCCACTTCTTTTAGACGCATCAACCAATCTTTCACGTTCTTGCTTTTCTCTTGCCGCAACTCAGCTTCCTGAAGTACATTTTGAATCCCCACCAAAGTTTTCCGAAGCTTTCGCAATTGTCCCTTCAAGCCCCAGGCCAGACCAATCTCATCAGCAACTAGGGAGATCAACTTGCTGATGATCCCCTCCGTGACAACACTAGTCACAGCTTCTGCAGCCATCTTTCTAATTAATTATATAACCCCAAGAAATTAACTGAAACCACAATAAAACAACAACAACAACAACACTAGCTAGCTCTCTGTATATGTATTGCAATTTGCTTGCAACAAAGTGGACGTAAATCAGTGTCTTAAATAGATCAAATCTCCATGCATGTTGTTAGTCCATACTGTGAGGATTCTTACCTTATTGAACAAATTGAAAGTTGAATTAGGAAGAAAAGAACTAAGCATGTCGACCCGGCCCCTCTCCCTAAAGCAAATAAATATACCAAAGAAAGCCTTGTCTCCATCACGTACTGAATGTAGCTTTGCTTTCCTTCAGAGCAATTGTACCTAAGAGAAAGGGAATCATCATCCACTGTGATCTTTGGGCAATTAAGGAATTTAATTCCTGCCTGCCTGAGAAGCAAGGGATATCCTCATCCTTTACTTACCAAAGCAAACCTTCACTTGATTCCATGGCTCAATTAATTAATTAAATAACTTGTCAGGAATGGAATTGATTCCAGGTTTTGTACGTTGGATTTGAGAGACTTTTCGGATTACCTCTTCTTACTGGCTACTACTATTGCATGCCAAACATTAATTAATAACAAATGTTTTTGTTTCGCCTAGTGATGAACTTTAATTGAACTTACCCATTACTTAATTCAATATAATTGATATATTTTGTATAATGCCTCCAATTGCATATGGTCATTTAATTTGAATTTGACTGAACATTTCTTAAAGAAATATATACAACATTCATCATGAGAATCTAAAGATGGGACCTCAATTAAAACTCCTCAATCGTTAATTAGCCCCAAGGTACAATTGGGATTTCTGTTGGATTATTAGAAGTTGCAATAAAATTAATTTCAAATGACTCAGCGGGGTTCTTAAAACACTTGAGCATTTCTGCCTATCAATTCTTAATTAATTTCCCTAATTAACAAGCAAATTAATTAAGGATCCGTTTGGTTTCTTGGAATGGGCGCCTGGAATTGGAATGGAATGTTCTATTCCGATTCCAACTATTTGTTTGGAAGAAATGGGATTCCAACTCCCATTCTTGAGGGAATCCATATGGGAGAATGGCCATTCAAGCCCCCCCCCCCCCTAGATAAAATATCCCTAATTTGATAAATATTAAGATATTAATTATTACATACTAACAAATAATAATAATAAAGTACTAATAAAACAATAGTTATGTATTCATAAAAAGTTAATAAAGTAATAAATAAGCTAATACAAAATAAAAAATTTTCAATTGATTCCAATTCCAACTCCAAATGAAACAAACAACAATTGGATTCCAATTTTGATTCTTGGTTGAACCAAATAGGTGTTAGGAATAGGTGATTCCGATTCCAATTCCTAGGGATTTTGATTTTAATCCTATCTATGAACAGAACGAATCCTAAAAACAGAACCACGGTTGACTTGATCAGTAACCAACTAGATGATGCCACTATTTGACCATGAAAAGGCTATATGTAATACAATATTTTTTTGTACTTTTAGTCATTTTATTCATTAATAATGATTATTCTCATTTATCCACACATATTTTTGTTTAATATCATGAACATGTAATATTATGGATATGCTTAAAGTTCTTTGTAAATTATATAAAATTTTCTATACTTCTGTTTTTATTTTTATTAATTAGTTAATGGCATCACAATTTAACCAACAGGTTCCTGGAGAGCGCAACTTTCCATCAAATTATGGCAGTAAGCTTGGTTCCACCTCTTATCTTTAGCTGGTATTCCATCTGTGTATTAACTTATTGGGTATTTTGTAGTTAGTGTGTGCTCTTTCATTGGCCTTGTTGATTGCCTTTGTGGGCTACGACGACTATACGAAACAAGGGAGGCCAAGAATGCCCAATTGAAGGCGGAGATGGCTGAGCTGAAGCACAACGTCAAGGAGAGGGACAACACCGTCCATAAGCTGAAGAGTTAGGTTCACGAACTCAAGGAGTTCAGTGACCAGGTGAGGAAGAAGCTTGAGGAGGCTAAGGCGAAGATGGCTCGGGAGAAGGAGTAGGGCATCTCCGAGTACAAGGCTTTGGAGGCCTATCAGAACGAGTTGGATGACTATGCCACTAATTCTTGGCAAGAGGGGATTGCCCTCTATCAGTGGTGGGTGATGTGCCAGTTTTCGAAGGTAGCCGAGATCGTTCAGGTGTTCAGCCCATTTGAGTTCGAGGGATCGGCTCAAGAGGTCACTGGGGCAGCCAAGGCCATGGCGGCTAGCGGCTAGGTTAGGGCGAACGATCCCCCCATGAAGAGTTGACCATCAGTCTTCATTTTTGTTCTTTTACTTCTTTTTGTTTTTGTTGTTGTACATATCTCGGTATTTTGAGCTTTCAATCGATGTAGCCTTCTTTTTGTTAATGGAATTATTCTCTTTCCAGAGCATGTTCTTTTGTCATGGTGTGTCTTTCTCTTTCCTTCTTTCTCTTATCGAGGACTTGGGATTGTTGGTTACGTGTTTAAAGTCCTACAATGGCCGAGGTTGTGGACTTCAGGGCCTCGGCCTTATGTTGGTTGAGGTCGCAGATTTGGTATTATATGGTCAGGGTCATTGACTCTGTGGCCTCAGTCTAATGCTGGCCGATTTGCTCCCATGTTCCTAACGTTGTTAGGGAGCTTGGCGACACCTAAGCTTATGTTGGGACCTCAACCTTCGTGGCCTCGGCATTGTGTTGATTGAGGTCCTTGACTTCGTTGCTGAGGTTTTCGGCTTCGTGGCCTCAGTCTCATGCTGGTCGAGGTCTTAGGCTTAATGCTCGACGACCAAGGTCTTTAGCTTCGTGGCCTTAGTCTTATGCTAGCCAAGGTGCTTCTGAACTCTCAACATTACCAAGGAGCTCAGTGGCACCTGGCTTAGGAGAGCTTCACACTCTTTGACTGGGCTAGCTGTGGTCTTCAATTAGCTCTTTTCTGACTACAAGTCAAGAGGGTGCGCAGGATTCGATGGTCATTCTCTTGTCATTATGTGGCAGGGACGCCATTCCCATAGCACCCGTCGAGGGCTTGTCATGGCTTTGACCATCTATGCTCAGTTGGGTTTTTCATGTGATGAATGTCAGGCCTCAACCATCTGAGGTTGGACGAGTCTTTGACGAGGTTGCCGTCACACTATAGACTTGTATGAATGCATCATGCAAGTTGTGGGTCGGCAGCCTTAGCCGTCAAAGTTCAGTCGGGCTATGTATGGGTGTTTGCTCGTTTGCTCTTAAAGAAAATTCTTATTTTGAGTTTGTACAGTGAGGTCTCTATTAGTGCTCGATGCCAATTGTTGTCAATACATTCCTAAGTTCCTGTTCCTCTAGATCTTCCATGTGGATCTTCCATGCCTAGTTGTTCTCCCCTCTGAGGGTCGTCCCGCCTAAGATGACAACGATGACCCCAATGGGGGAGCTCGGGCTGGGGACTCGTCAGTGCAGCATGCCTCTTCTCTGGGTTTATACTCTTTGATATCAATGAACCCGCAGAGGTATCCACATTGGATGAGGATTATCAGGTGGTGGCGAAGACTATGGTAGCTTTCGGTCTCGTGGCATTGGTCTTAGTGGAAATCGCAATACTTGTCACAATTTCTCTTATTGCCTTAGGTTTCATTATTTTGGGTGCACTTGACAAAAACGCGGTCATAGATTTGCATCAGTATCTCGGACCGCAGAGTGTTGAATTAAGTGATGTTGCGATACATCAACAACGAGGTTCTTGGCCTATGATCGGTTCGGTCATCCTATCTCTTACCTTCTCGGTCCAGTCTTCGGCCATTGTAGTCTCTCTACCTTCCGGTTGTGCTAGTCTTCCTCATCCCTGCATAGCACTTGGGCCTCTTCGACGTTCATATAATTCTGCATGTACTTCATGAGTGCAGTAGAGTGGGGGGAGGATTCTTCTATAGAGAGAAGCTAAACATTGACGACGTAGTCAATTCATGATGGTGACCACGGCCACCGACTGGTTTAGGGGGGGGGGGGACCTAAAGGGCCTCAGCGTTAAACCTCGCCAAGTAGTGCCTCAGGGTCTCTCCTTGTTTTCTGATGCACCTGCATAAGGTTGGTTGATGTCTTCCATTGCCTCTAGCTAGTAGTGAACTACACCAGGAACTATGCTTCAAAATGCTCCTAGAAGGCTATGGACCGCAACGGGAGTGAGGCATACTAAGTGTTGGTGACTTCGTGGAGGGTAGCAATGAAAGCCGTGCACATTAAGCCTTTCGGTGAGCTTTGGAGCATCATGATGACCTTGAACCCTTTGAAATGATCGTTGGTATTTGGGGTGTCATTATACTTCTCAAGCTGTGGTGGATGCCATCTGGCAAGGGGAAGCTCACCAACGTTCTCATGGACGAAGATGGGTTCTTTCAAGGGATGTTAGTCGTAACGCTACTTTGCTGGTCGGGTCGTTGGAGGAGCTACATTGTGATCCGCTTGGCTGCGTCCCAATTCGACCAACCGTTCTCAAAGGTCTTTGATCTCGGCATCTCAGTTAGACGGTACCACATTCATGAACTTCTCTGCTTTTGGGACTGCCTACCAATCTTCGACAGAGCTGGATTCATCTATCAAGATCGGTGACTACTGCGAACGTTAGTCAAGTCATTCCCTCGCCGGAACTCAGATGCCGAAGTGATGGGATCTACAATGGTTGTCGTGCACACGAGGCCGAGTTGGGGAGTCAGGCCTCTGAGATGGTTGTGGACACTCATGGTCAGATTGGGCCCCATGTTGATCTACATGATGCCTTTTGGAGTCCTCAGTACGAGGATCAGCCATGGTAAGCACTTACACGATAGGGCGAGTGGCTTGGGGGGGGGCATGCATCGGTTGCCCTAGCATCTCCTTCATAGTGAGGATACAATCAACCTTCTGGTACATCGCATGGAACTACGCGGGGTCGATCATTGTCTGATGTTGGGGTTTCCGAGGTGGATAGTTGCAGAGTGAATGAGATCCTTGAGATAGGGTATTGGCTGCAAAGCGGTAG